GGGCGAGCCGAGGGGTGAGCGAGTGAGTGGCAGAATGTATTTGCTCGGGGTGCGACCACCTTGAAAACAGGGGTGAATCACGGCGAATAACGGCGAACGGAGGGAAGATTGAGAGCATCATATGCTGCGGAGATAAAAATGCTGGTCCCGCTGCTCGTCTAATCGACCATAGCTTTCGCCATGCGAGGGAAATTTCTCCGTTGTTTATTGCTGGGAATTTTTCAGCGGATTCACACGGACAAATCAGCTGAAAATGTTATTTGTTCAGCAAACAACTATCATAGAAAATAAATTGAGAAGAGCCGCGCGGGGTATTGAAAAAGCTCTAAGCTCCCACGGGACAACCTCGCTTGAGCCTTCCTTTGGCGCTCGCTTTCCATTCGCTGATTGTTTCGCGAGTGAGCAGAGATATTGCAATCGGTGGAGAACGGAAATTGAATTCGTGAAAACCGTCCGCGGCTCTCAAAGTTCATCACTTTCATAATCTTCTTTGTAACAATGTGGAAAAGCCAGTAAGATTAGTATGCCTTAGTCAGAAATATTCTAGTTATATTCTCGGTAATGCTTCATCACTCGTAAGAGTCACGAATAACTCATTCGCAATTTGGGTTTCACTAATTTTTTGAGTCTACCCCTTTCCACGATTACCTATAACTCAGTTTCTCCCACTTTGCCTCATATATGTGTTTATATTTCGCCGGATTTTGCACCGATTTTCTCCAATTTTGTCGCAAATGAAAGATATTAAAATTATCTACAACTTTGCAGAACATTGTGAGAATTTTTGACTACTTCTTGTTGGTCAGAAAATGCATTTTTTGTGCTATTCGGCAAAAATTCGCGGGTTTTTATGGTACAAATTATATTTAATGTCTCCGAAACGAATAAAACTTTGATGTCGGATTATTTTCCCTATCTGTAGGGCACTTCTGGGACTAGACTTTCCCCATTATCTTGTTATTTGGTTTAAACTTTGAAATATTATACAGATTAGATAGATAGACAGTTTTGAATAGAAGGTTTGACGTATTGAATGTCTTCGGTGGAGAATTTCCATTGGATGTCCCAAAAATCTCAGTGTGCAGAAGCTCTCGCAGTCTCTTCGGGTCTGGACCATATTCGAGATTGCTCTCAAAGAGTGGTGTGATGAGTGTTTTTGTTGGTGTCAATGTTATTGGCGATTTTTTGTCACTCTCTCTCTCTCTCCTCTTCTGGCATTGGCAACGCAGGGACGACGCCGGAGAATGTGTGGCACTTCAGTTGCAGCTTTTTTCCTCATCTATTGAAAAACACCCTGGTCCCATTGTGCCTTCTATCGGAACTCCGGGACATCCACCATTAATCCAATCCGGATTAGGTGAAAAATATTTCGTGTGATAAGCTTGGCATTAGTCGTTGTTTTTAGGCAAAGAAGAATTGTTCAAAACATGACAAATGATGGGATTGTTCGTTAAAAAGCGCGCCACAGCCGCACATCCTCTCGCATGGACAGAGTGTCGTGGTGAAAAAAAAAAGCCCCGTCCCAGTGTGAGAATGAGGCAAATGCCCGGGTCTCTCCTTTTCATCTGCCCAAATCCTCGCCGCCCCGCGTCGTGGAGAGCCACCCACTCGAAAGTGGGCATTTGTATACGCTTCCGAGCGCTCCCCCTCAGAGCACGCCGCACAGCGCCACGGGTGAGAAGTACAGAATGTTTAGGCGAGGCCCGAGAAAAAAAGAATTTCCATCCCCGGGGAGGAGTGCGAGGGGGTGCGAGGCAAATTGGACGGTGCGGGGCTGGGAAGAAAAAATTAAACATCCACTGTAGCCGAAAATTTCTCTCAGATAGATGTTAAATGCCTCCGGAGCTGCAGAATGCCGCTCGCCTCCCTCGCATATGGCCGGGCCGGCAAGATAGAAATGTATTCATGGGGCGGATGGAAGGAGCGCCATTACGTTGAATGTGCGTCAATTCTCGGGCGGGCAAAAACACGGGCGAGAGCCATTGAAAGGGCTAGAAGAGGGTAGCCCTTGGAAACGCCATCGTGACCGGCGTGAAATGAAATGAGGGGTCGTCTGAAAAATTATCCTCGGCTCTCAAACTACTTCAATTTGCTGCCAATGGAGCTTAGAAAAGTGCTTCAAATGAAAATTCGAGAGAGGAAATTTATTATTTACCATCCATCCAGCGAAAGGCACTTCAGTGGCTTCAACTCCAAGGCAAAGGGAATCTCATGGAAGTAGTACAATTGCTGATTAACGCTGTCTAGCAACACGAGGGCTTTGCCGAAATTCAAAATTGTATCAGATCATTATAAAGTATTACATTTGTCGGATTAAATTGAGGTGAAATTGGCAGAAATATTACAAGATATTTAATTGCTTAACAAGAACAGAATAAGAACATTTTGTACACTTCTTTTCTAAATATAAATATGCTCAACTTTCTTCGTTACCAAACATAAAATAAAGTTGCTACAAACCTGCTGCAAATATGAATATTTTCACATTAAAAATGTTACTAAACATCCAATGTAATTAACAGACTACTGAAAAGCCCAACTTTTTTAATTATCACAGTAAAAGTGTACAAACTCTCCGTTAATTCGTTTCACTTGTGTGGAAAAATCTCCCCGAAAGGGTGGCAAAAGATTGACGAAAAATTACTTCCCATCCAATGAATGCCAAGGCAAAAAAATGACTTTTCCGAGAACTTTTCGTAATTTTCCTTCGCCATTCACGGGCTTTTTTTTTGCACCCCTTTCCGCCAAAGAACCCCCACACATAGTCGCTGAAGTCGAGGGTGTGCAAATGGAATGCAAAGAGAAAAGGGGGTGGAAATTTTCATTTTTCATGTCAGTTCCACGAAAGATAGCAAATTCGATGGGGGTGAAGTTTTAATGATTTTCTCCGGGGCCAGCGCCCCCACTCTGAGTGGCTGAATTATGCAATTCGGAAATTGGGATCGTGTGAATATAATTATGTTTTCAAGGCGGGCGCGCAAAAAAGAAATTAAATTATTCATTCTGCTCTTTTGTTCTACACAGAAGACCATCTCTTCTGGCCGTCGATTCCCTTGGCACTTCCTCCGAGTGCTGGGGGTAGGAAAAAGTGTGCTTTGCATGGGGTGTGTGGGCGAGAGCAGACAATATAGCTTTCTGGCGGTAATTTCTGCTCTGTCTTCTTCCACACTCCCGGACTTTTGCTCATTTTCTTCCTGCGCCCACCCCCTGGCGCCCGCCCCGCTCTGGCTGTGCTGTCTCGGACAAAGTATGGCCGCCAGAAATCACCCGGGCCCGGGGTGATTATAAAAAATGTAAAAACTTTGTCTGTAACCAAGATATATGTGCTCCAGGGATGAGCCGCAGCTCCTCCTCCTCAGCCCCAAGAGAAATGTCTGCGGAGCATTAGCTGCAGCCCATTCTTCTTCAACTTCGCCCCTGAGCGTCTCCCTCGTGAATGGACGCCGGACCATATATTTTAAGCGCCCTCCCCCGGCCGCCACCCCGCCGCCCATGTATAAATGTATGAAACTGTTAGTTATCGCAGAGGAGCCAGCGCTCGGGTGGGACTGAAGAGTGCGGTCTCGAGTCGTGGCGTGGGAAGAAGGACTGGACCTTGGGTGTGGGATTTAAAACCAAAGATAAAACGGAATGGAGATCGTTAGCTGCGGCGAGGCGAGAGCAAAGAGGAAGTCTCTATGGTCACTTCAGGTCATTCGAGATATGGCCTGTCCAGACAGCGAGAGCGGGAGCTCCATGGGCCACAAGCGCCAAAACCTCCCTCTTCAGATATACATTATTATTTCATGAAATGCAAACCACACTTAAGGCCACCCACGCTCACCCCCTCGCCCGCCGCCCGGAGAATGTCTGAACATAAATTGGCACAATAGAATCCGCACATAGTCATAATATGAAAATAGGAATGGAAATTTTTGGGTACAGAAGCGATATACCCCATGTTGGGGTAGATAAAAGGAAACCCCACCACCCGGGCGTCCCATAATTCCTGCATTGCAAGAGTAATGCCTTATCCAGCCCCAAAATTGCTGCTGCAGAGAACATAAAACCCAGAGACAAAGTTTCTCCAGAAATTTATTCCAGCCGAATCCATAGAGATGCAAAAGTTTTTAATTTAATACGGCAAATTCAGAAGAGAATATCTTTTGTGGGTGGACATAGAGAAATGTGGTTTTCTCGCACTCCTTAGTCTGCAAGTGCTCACCTTTTGTCGCTGTTGACGCCAAAATTTATGAAAATTGATACAGGGAAAATGGAAAAAATTGTCTCTCCAGAGAATACACTGAGAGACACAATAGGAGAATGGATTGTGACGGAATTTTAGTAATGCTTAATGTGATTTCTATTCTATTATGCACTAAATTTCATTCCAGTGTTAATTTAATTTAATTTAATTGACATGCTTGGCAAGACAGGAGATATGGAGAATTTCTGTGGAAAACACTTTTCTTGTCCAATTTTAAACCGAGCGGCAATTCTGAGTTCTTGAAGTCGCAAATTCAGAATAACACACAAACTAAGAAACTCTAATGAATAATTTCATTGATACTTTTAGTATATCCTTGATTTAATTAAAAAAAAAAACTTTGAATTTATTCTGCTTTTCTCTTCTTCTTTTTTGAAGCTATAAAGCTGTCTAAATGTGCTCTGCTGGTCTAGTCCAAATAAAGAGAAATTCACTCTTATTTCTGTCTAGACTCTGTTTTTAGTGTCTATTTGAAAGAAATCCATACACAAAAGCTTGTCAGCATTCAATGCACACACGCAAAAATGATAAAGTTTCCGTCAATCAGAAACCACATTCCCAGCATATTTTCATGATGTATTTATTAGTGTTGAAAACTGAAGAAAAATATTGATACACAATTATTTCAGCATATTAACCATCGTAAAATATATGCTGTACCCCATTTCATTTACTCATCTTTTGATGTTTGTTTGCACAATAAAAATGTATTTTTAATAAAACAACTCACAACATTTTCCTCTCTTCATTGCAGACTTCTTTTGAACCTCAACGAGTGACTTCGGGATTCCTCTGTGCAAATAGCGTGTTGGCGGACATAAATTATCACGAGGTATAATGCTATCTTCAAAGAGACTCTCCGCAGATATACAACAAATTTTTGGGCTGATGGACAAATAAAGCATGGCATACAAAAAGCACGTTTTGAGGGATTTTTCATTCAATTTCTCTCGATGATTTTGACGCAAATAAATCCTCTCTCGCTTTACACACAATTTCTCCTATTCTGTCGTGTTGCTTTTTTTGCCTTCCCCATGGCAAAAAACACATTTATTTAATGATTTTATATATTCATTTTTATTTTTTCCACCCCAGGGACACCCGGGGTGGCTGCCAAAGCTCCCCGTGGCACCTGTCGCCGTGCCACGGCATTTGCGCGAGTGTGTGTGTGTCAGTCTTTTTCGCGAGGAGCAACATTTTTTGAAGGACACATAAACTGATGATTGGCGCGCAATACCGTCGTCGTTTGTGGCAATTGTGAAAATTGCAAATGTGTTTGTTTGCACAAATAAAAACTCAATTTTTATTGGCACATTTTTATATGTGGCGAACTTTTTTCCTCCCACCCACCCAACCACCCACTGTGGCATTATAATTTCTGCTGTGCCGCGCGGGGCAGTGATGTTTTTTTGTGGCATGGGAGGCGCTCCAATTGGGTGGCCCGGTGCCGAGACTTTTTTTAATCAGTTTGCATTTTTTTCTGCAAAAATTGGGCGATATTTTTGTTTCATCGATCCCCACACGCTATGGATGATGCCTCGTCTCGGCTATTTGTATTTTCATTGATGATTCAGTTTAACAAGTAAGAGGTTCGCAGTTCGTGCAGAATTCATCCCACAAGCCATACAGTGAGGTCTTTGCCATTGAAAAGGCACAATGACCATCATTTCGAGACGTTCGTAGTGACTGTGATTTTGCGATATCGTCGAAAAAGTGTAAAGTTATCGACTTTATGTGCATCGTCGGGTTTTTGGAAACCAATCATAAGTTCAGAGTTCACAGTTGATATATAAGACAGGCATATGGACGCGTCCTTGTGCTTGTCTGAAGTGTCAGTAATCTCATCTAACGTGCAATATTAAAGAAATTTTAGACGCCCTTGTTGGAAATTCTCGGCATTCAATAAGGGTTGAGTGGCGTTCGAGACATTTGAAGCTCTCTCGCTGGATGGGAAAAAATCTTTACCCCGGCGCAGGTCTCGGACCACACCGAACACAGGCACACGAGAGGGAAATTCCAGAGCACAAAAAGTGCTGGACTTTTTTCTCTTGTCAAAGTAGGGGAACTCCAATACATTCTGGCCGGTTTTTTTTATGCCTCTTCAGACTCTGCACACCCTCCCTGAAATGTGTGTCCCTCGAGGGTTGTGTATGCAAATTTTCAGTCTCAAACGCACGAAACGCGAGGAAAAAAGAATCACCCTCTCGATGAAGGGTTGCCGGCAATATCCCTAGTATCGTGTTGATTTGGGGTGAGTTTGAGTGGGCCAAACTCAAACTCCCTGATGGTGTTTGTGTGACCCCTTATGTACCATCGCGCGCTGAATCCATGTAACGAAAGAAAACTCCGCCCCGAAATACCGATTTTTCCTCCACTTTTTGGGGTGGTCGTGCTTTTTTTGCTCTCTTTGGTCATTTTGCAACCGGCATCCGAAGCTTTTTTGACCGTTTTTTCCCATCTGCGCACACCCCAAATATGCCGCGACCGGAGGAAAAGCGCGTTTTCCAGAGCTCTGAAACAGTCGCACACATACACACATGCACACACGCCATGGGACATAAAAGATGCAGAATTGAGCTTTTTTCTCTAACCTTTTCCCACCACTTTCGTGAGAGCTTTTTCTCTCACGCGCACAGACACACTGGCAATTTTTCCCTAAAGCTTCCATGTGCTGTGGCTCCGCCTAAAAAGCCATCTCCTCGTGTGTGAATCGGTACTGCAGCTCTCTGTTTTTCACATATATATTTTCAGGGGATGACGCCTGAGAGTGTGTGCTGGGAAAAGTCTGGGAAAAACAACCAGAGGAGTGGCTGAGAGTTGGGCAATTTTTCTCGCTCTCTCACTTCCTCTTTAGCCACTCGCAATTTCACCTTTTTCCTCCATCCACCCCCGCAATTCTTCCTCTCACTCTAGCCCGGCGAGAGTCTGACCAGGGCGAGGGTGTGAGTGAGGGTGGCCTCAGAAGCCCACCTCGCACCTTCCCGCCAAAAGACCATTCTTAAATGCACGCACACGAACTCACGGCCAGTCCTCAATTTATGGGGATTTATTTTCCAGGACAGCTCCCAGCGGTGATTAATAATGCCCCAACTGGAGCTAAGATGATAGCCAACGCTGGCTTCACCTGAACAGATAAGCATCGCGATTATCCTGACGTCAAAAGCTCTGATTAACTATTGTTCGTAAATGTATCGAAAATCGTTATAGAATTGAGCATATCTTTGCCGATTAAGCAATTAAAAGTATAATTTAATTGCTATCCGATAAGGAATTTGATTCATAAATCACCACGGCAGCGATATGTGGTCCGACATCTGCCCTTGAGCAGCGGCAACGGCATCGTCCAGTGCGCACCCCCGTGCGAGTTCGGGCAATTCTCTGGCAGATGGAGCGACGTGCAGGGGTTGTGCTCAGCATGAGGGTTGGACATCTCATCGCTGAAGACATGTGACGGAGATTGAGGATGTTCCTGCAAGAGCTTATTTACAAATCTATGGCAGAACTTTGGCGAGTTTCAGTTATTATTCAGTTACAAAGTTTCATATGCGAATAGATGGAGAGCGAGCAGGAATACATGCAAATATAAAGTTGAGGTGGGTATTCCATTTGGCATTCAGAACTATCACAACAGAAATGTCTGTAGCACACAAACTGAATTTCCAGAGCTCAACATGGGAGCTGAGATGTGGAAACTTCCATGCGGAGTGTGAGCGGTGTGGAAATCTCAGTGAAGAAGTTTATTGCCAATAAAACTATACATGGTACAATATGTTGTCCGCTATATGTAGAATGTGAGTGAGAGATTTTACAGGGTTGCCGTATAAATTCGAATCATTTCCACTGCTGACCGATTACAATATGAGGCATGGCAGTTAAAGTATTAGCAGAAATTTTCCTAAGGAGAATCTCGAATGTTTTCAATCCGTAATTACAATACACGAATCAAGGGGGAGATATTACAGTCAGAAGTAGTATTCAGCTCAGCGGAAGTCTTGGGAAGTGGAAGTGTTCGAAAACTTACAATATTCATTTCCTGAATGCTTCATTTGCTGTCGAATTATCCCGATTCTGTGACCTTCCTTTGATTTTCCCGCAGAAACAATGACAGTAATTACTTTCTAGGTCATGTAGCAAAACAAGGTTCGTGCTTAAGTCGGAGAGATTGCTGGTAATTGACAGAATAAAGCATTTGCTTGCAATAAACACTATTCTGAACTTTACATGCTAAAAAAAATGCAAAAGTCAAAAATAACCTCAAAAATATTGATGAGGACTTGAAAAATGTTTATTTAGCAAACTTTTGTGTCAATGTTTTGACTCTGAATCAGCAATTTTTACTTCATTGGCAAGTAATAAGAGATTACTTTTTAATCTAGAAAGCTTTCTAAGTGAGTTATTGAAATTATCTTAGTAATGTTTTAGGGTTATAGTCAGAGTTATAGCCAAAAAGGGCAGTTTTGAGTCGATTTTTACAGAAATATCGAATAAAAACTTAAGAAATCTATCGTAATTAGAGAATTAATGTGTAAACAGTAAGTTGTGTACAGATTTAAAACATATAGTGTTCCCCTTGTAGTATTCTCCTCGCTGAGTGCGTGACCAGCTTTCGGGCCAACCCTAAACTAGGGGCTGCACGAGGTGGGAATCGAGAAGGCCCAGAAACTAGCATATATGTGCATGGCAGATTCGGCCAGCAATATAAGTTTGCCCGGTTTCGGGACCTGCAGATGAGAAACTTTATTCTGATGGTGAGGACTTGTCTGAATGTTTGATTGCGGGGCTGATTGGATGGGTGGCATTGCTGGTGTGGTCTGAGTTATGTTGAATAAATGTTAATTTACCATCAAATTTCGTTTATTAAAAGTTTTCGAATTGAAATTTTGCATCTCAAATCATTCCTCCACGCCGCTGGATGTGAGCTTCCTCCACAAGTGTATATTTTATGCTGACATTCTGCACATTATAACAATTCTCTTCATCAAGCACCCACCCAAAAATACACACTCGTCGCCACTCACCCTCTCCATCCCCAGCCCCATGAGATTTGAGGGTGTGAATCCTAAATTTTCTGAATACAATTTTGCACATTTCAAAGATTTACAGTGCATTTTGCACCCACTGCAAGTACTCATTTCCATCAGCCCGGCAGAGACTGCCGCACTCCGTCCCACGCCCGCCCCGGGGGGTGAAATGTGAGTTTATGTGTGTGGATGAAGAAAGGAAAGATTAGAGCTGGGTATTTCAGCATCACAAAGAACACCCTCTGTATGGATCCCAATACAAGAAGGCGAAAATAGGGGGTGTTGTAATGCCAGGGTATACAACACAAAGTTCAGAGTGGAATTTCAAATTATTCCATCATTGCTGCACACGCCGACATGTTTTCTGTTGCTTCCACTTGTGCATCAACATTCACCCACATCGTCACGGCGGCCCCCCTGCGCCGCCCCTCGCCGCCCCACGTGAGGTGGAAATAAACATGTTCGGAATGTAATTCCAGGTGAATGTGGGGTTTGTGCGGAGGGGAGAATGTGAAAGTGGCAGTAATTAAGTGCCTGAATTATTCATCATAATAAATTCCCACTGAGCTTTTCTTTCTCACGCTTAATTTTCACCCAAAATGCATTCATACGGAGACACCCTTGCGTCGTGCGCCAAAGTGAGTGTTAATTGCATCAAGAGAATGGGTTTCAGGCCGAAAGGGCGTGCGATTTTTCCATCAACCTGAACGCACAAAGGAACATCACTGGAAGAAAATTCTGAAGGGGCTTTCCGCAAACACCCTCACAACACTCCAGCCAGCGAGTTGCGTTATATTTAGACGCACTGCTGATATTTATAGCCCTGTGGTGAATGCGTTTGGAAAGTTGTACACTCAGGAAAAACAGCCACTTTTCAGCTCTTCTTGAAAGTGTTTCTG